CCAACTATATGTCTGGCAAGAAAAGATATGTCGTGAGCCGTGTGTTTTGAAGATTGATGCTCTTGGTTGAACTTTATCCATCTGCTTCTTAAAGCACTTACTTCTGTGCACACTTTATAAATGTTGTGTCAAAATCAGTCAGTGTTCTAAGTTGATGCAGCTCTTGGTCCCACCTTCTTCACTGATGTACCTTTTTCATCAATGCACTAGTACTTGACAGGTGGCATTTCCCTTTTCCTAACATTAATAAGACATACAGTCTCCCTCTGCTATATAGAATGTGCTTTTATTTTATTTATTTGTTTGTTTTTGTTAATCTTCACCCAAGGATATTTTTTCCATTGGTTTTTAGAGAGTGGAACAGGAGAGTTGGGGGGAGGAGAGGAAGAGAGAGAGAGAGAGAGAGAGAGAGAGAGAGAGAAACATTGGTGTGAGAGAGACACACAGATTGGTTGCCTCCTGCACGTACCCAACCATGAGGGCAGGACCAAACCTGTAACCCAGGTAAGTGCCCTTGACCTGGAATCGAACCCAAGACCTTTCCGTGTGTGGCCAACACTCTAACCACTGAATGCCACCAGCTAGGGCTGGAGGGTATGCTATTAAGAGCCCTTGCTGCCCTTTTAAATTTCTTAAGGAAAAGTGAAGTTTGGTGTCCTTCTTAAGCAAGATCATACCTGATAATTATTTTGAATATTAAAGCTTTTAGTACAGTCTACTTTTTATAGATTCACTAGAAATGGTCTAAATCAGAGGTCTGCAAGGAAGGTCCACAAACCAATTCTGGCCTGCCACCTATTTTGGAAAATAAAGTTTTATTGGAATATAGCCACACTCATTCATTTCTACTATATTGTCTTCTGCTGCAACCCTGCGGTCAAATAGTTACAGCCTACAAAGACTAAGATATTGACTATCTGGCCCTGTACACAAAGGATTGCCATCCTCTAACCCAGTGGTTCTCAACCTTCTGGCCCTTTAAATACAGTTCCTCATGTTGTGAACCAACCATAAAATTATTTTCGTTGCTACTTCATAACTGTAATGTTGCTACTGTTATGAATCATAATGTAAATATCTGATATGCAGGATGGTCTTAGGCGACCCCTGTGAAAGGGTCGTTCGACTGCCAAAGGGGTCACGATCCACAAGTTGAGAACCGCTGCTCTAGTCCAAATAGACATTTACCACCAGTCAAAGGGGACTGATCACTCCTCTGGGGCTGATTTGGGTGTAATTAGGATAGTGTGCCAGTTTTGATAATTCAGGCTTTGCATGGTGCAGAGACTAAAGTCTAAAGCACTATGGATAAAAATGTACATGTCAATGTAGAAATGCCTAGCAACGCAGCAGGAAGAGTAAAATCTAATGAAAGGGGCTCTCTCCTCACTTGGTCTAATGCAAGAGGCATTCTCAGTGGATCATTCATCTCAGTCCTTTGCTCCTGGTAGACATCAGAGCTACGAAAATGTTGTCCAGTTGCTGTTTAAGAATCAGCTTCACAATCCAGTTTGATTTCCCTCTTTTATCTTTTTAAAACTAAAAATCCATTGAAGTTCTTGCCTCTGGCAAATCCTGCCCTCATCCCCATTAAACACTAGCCTAAATCAAGCCAACAAACACCACCAAGCAGACCCCATGATCAGCGGGTACACTTTCATTTTGGGAATATAGGAGGCGCACTTTTCCACCCAGGGCTGTGTAAGATAAAATTGTATTCAGGCGCTGATCTTGGCAGTGCCTCCAGGACGCTATGCAAAATTTATTCTTTGAAGTCTACAAAAGCCACCCAGAGACAATCTATTGGACTGCAATCAATTTCCAGCAGGAAATCTTTCAAACATTGGCTACAGACATGCCTCTTTTCAGAAAACGTGTGTGTTACATTGCATTTCTATTAATTAAATCCTATTTGCAGTGCCCTAGAGATGCTTTCCCCGGAAACATCGTCAAGTAGCCTTTCCAAATTATAGGTCAACTCTCACCACTACAATTGTGAAAGGGAGGACAGTGAAGGCACCAAATGCTGCTTAGCAAAGCCTAGACACATCAACCTCGTTTAGATTGGATAAAGGACACCTTGACCACCCATTGCGGATCATTGCACAATCAGCACATAACTTTTAGCTAGATTTATACTTATTTGGAGTTGGCTTTGGGAAGGCTAATGGAAATTATAGGGAGGGACTTTAGGTTTCCCCACCCAAAGCCACTTCTTGGTACATCCATTGATTCCAAAACCATATGAAAAGGAGAATAAGGGTGGTTGCCTAGAAGTAAATGCTTCTCCAGAGATATCAGACATGTATCATGCTGATGCTCATCAGAGCAGTAGGCTAAAAAAAGAAATAATACACCCTATTACTGAAAAAATTCTTAATTGGGATCCAAGTTAACCTCTTCCTGCCCTTTGTACCATTTGTCAATTTAAAAAGAAGAAGAAGAAATGGTTCTATAGTATGCATATAAGATCTTTGGTTAATTTCTTCCCACCCTCCCTCTTCCCCCTTTGCCGGAAGCCAGACCATCCTTGCTGCTTGACACAGTCACTGCAGGGAAGAAACATCTGCACAACATATGTTTCAAGGGACCTGGCTTATATGGCATACTGTTCTTAATATGTTTGCTCTCCTACTTAGCGCTATGTGTTTTAACCAAGGTCACCTCTCCGAGAAAGGTTGTTTCCCCAGGTGGGGATTATTCCCTGGAGTTAGGGATTAACAGGACTAAGGAAGGGAATAAATCAGTAAAACCCCTTAACTAAGTGCTAGGTGGGTAGTTAATCACTTTAACTACGAACAATCACGCTTAAGCTACATAATCTTTACTTAGGATAATCTCCTTCAGTTACTTCCCTGTAGCTTAACAGAACAATAGAGTAGTGACCTTGGAATGGAGATAAGAAACGCCCTAACCTTTGGAATAGAATGGATAGGATTAAAATCAACTGGTATAAATACAGATGTAACAGGAGAATAAAGACAGAACCTGGCTACAGAACCTGGCTAGGCGGCTGATCAACTGAACGCTGTCTCCATGTCATTCCTTCCTCATGACTCCATCCACACCTTTGGGAACCCCTGGACCTGCTGGGGCTGGACCCCAACACCCCTTCCCTCTGAGATTCATCAGTATGTTCCATGTTTCCATGCCTGTGCATTGGGCGTCTGCCCCATGGTGGCCAGTGTGCATCATAGCTACTGGTGGAATGGTCGAACCCCCACTTAGGCTTTTATATATAGAGATATTCAAACTTCTCTTCTAAGTGTAATGAAACTTGAGTGACAAAGGCAAATCTTAGGTTGGCTTTGTGGACTGACTTTTAGGCATTACCTGGCAGACTCTAGAAAAGAACTTGTGAGGCAGCAGCTTTAGTGCTGGGCAATCAGAGTCATTAGGAAAACTGCCTCGATGGCCTGGGAGACCAGGAGGCCAAAGCAATAAAAGAGAAAACAGCCCTTTGTGAGATATCTCTGAAGTGATATCTTAACTTGCATCCTGACTATGGACCCATATAAGTAGTGATGGGGGAGGAGAAGTGGGGAATAGCATGTTTACTTTTTAAAACATTTACATTCTGGAAACATGTATGATGGAATCTCTAAATATTACAGTTACTAACAATCATCCCTATATTTATTGAGTAAATGGTATGTGTTAGGCAAGGTGGTAGGGATTTTCAACATTTATCAAGCTCATAATAGCAATCCTATTTATAACTATTGCATACTTAAAAGTTGCTTTAAAGAGTCTCATCAAATTGGTAAAACTTCTGATGTGGCTATTAAAATTCAATGAACCAAACACAAATTCATCTCCAAAAAGGAGGACAAATAAGCATCAATCACCTTGGATAAAAATTCAGTAAGAAGCACACAGGCATTTCTCTGATTAGTATTCAGGGACTTAGAACTTGTTTTTCAAATAAATATAGTAGCTGTGCTTTTGTAAATGAGGAAATCAGAAAAATGTGAAATTTATGACCAAATTTAAGAATTTATATCTATCCAATAACTTCTATTTATTGGATTTTACTGTGTACGAGCTATTTCACATCTAGTGTTTCTAATCCCTCACAGGCTCCATATAATTTTATAGACAAGGAAACTACATACTTGCCCAAGGTCACATAACTAACAAATAACTCAGTTGGGCTTTAAACTCTAGACTGATGTGCCCAAGGTTGGGCTCATTCTTTGATGCCACTCTGCTTGCCTAGTTGTGTGAATGCTTTATACAGAAGTAGGAACACTGGAACAAAGAGACACACCCATCAATTTGCATAAATTAAGCCAAACCCAGGCTACTTTTACTTATGTGCAATGCAAACCTCCTCAACCTAAAATATGAACATTAGTTATCTTTCAGGAAGACAACTGAACAAAGATACAGGTAATCAAAAGGTATTTGTTTTTTAAAGTGAGAACATGAGGGCCAGTAGGAAAACAAAAAAAACACACAAAGAAACAGAAAAACATGTGATGGCTTTGATTTCATTTTTTCTCAAGAAAGGAAAAGTGATGCCAAGTCTGGGGGCATGTGGTGATTTGCAACAGAATTCTCCCATTCCAATTCAATTCACACATCTGCACAGTACAGGTAGGTCACAGAGGTGAGCACTCAACACTACTATAAAATCAATTACATTTCCCACCTATCACAGCAGGCACATACTGGAAGTCATTTATCAATAGTACTGTAAAAAGCAAAACAAACCAAAAAACCCACTTAACTTTAAACTAACAAGATAACAAACTTGGTGAAAATTTAGTTTTTTAAACTGTTAAAAAAATTTTTTGCTTTAGAAAATGTGGTTCAAAGGCCAAAGAAATGGCTGGGACAAAAAAAATTAAACTTAGTTTGGTTTAGCACAGATTAAAAATATGAATTCACAAATAGTAGCCATTTAGGGCTAGTTTATAAAAAATTTTCATTATAAATTGTGGAGTTAATATCTGATAGCAAGCCTAAAATTTGGTGATTAAATCTAAGTAAGTTACCAGTGAGCCTGGATGCATCTCCATTTAGTTGTCTCTTCTGGAGCAATTTAAAAATCACACTCTTGGAAAAATTTGAGATTCAGATTATATTCGGAATAACAGAGATTAGTAGTAGTTTTAGATGTAGTTCTGCTTCTAGACCAATAACATGATATCACCTGGGAATGTGTTAGAAATGCAAATTCTCAGTTCCCACCCAGACTTGCTAAATCAGGAACTCTGGAGGTGGGACTCAGCAATCTATGTCATAACACACTTTTAAGAAATTCTAAAATTTGAGAACCACTATTCTAGGGCCCACGGACTCAGTGTTCTGGTTTACAAGAATTGGTTAAAATATGTCCAGTTAGGATTAACCAAAGAAAAGTAAACTACAGTAATTATCAATTTATAGATAGATACTGAAAGTTTACTTGTAGACTACTTGTGTTGTTTTTCTATAAGAACATAGTAACATGTACTAAATTCTCAGAAAACTCACAAAGCCAATTTAACTTCTAAAATTGGAACTATCATGCTAAAAATACAATTTAATGGATATTAGAATGGAATGTCCTGGCAGAAGCAACTATGGAAAGCTGAAAACTGATACATGGGAGTGGTCAAGGTGATGCCGTTGTAATGAACCCAGTTATTAATAACTGGAAAGGAGCAAGGCCAAATATTATGGGCATGCCATTTGTGCAGCTTTGCCACACAGCTGCAATTTAGATGCATGCCCAGTAAAGTCTGGGTGACATAGGGAGGTGCTTGTCAATCACTCCTGGGAGTAGGTCATTGGCCAGGGTAGGCATGGCCTCTGCAAGCACGGGAAGATTTACAAAACTCAAATTCCTAAACAAAGGAGTTCTCTTTCTTGCTCACACTGACTCCTGTCCTATGGGATTCTCATGCTCCTACTCTCTTGCATTTGCTGTGGGCCATGTGGACCCCACACACAATGGACTAATGGCCTGCAACTGGCCTAATAAACAACCCAGATCCACCGTGGAACAGAAACTTTGGACACTAGCTTTGCTTCTAGCTTTACTACATCCCCAACTGCATCTTCTCCAGGCCTGGACTAAGGGAAATGGAACTTTGAAACCCAAGGATGTAATTCCATGCAAATAAAAATCATTCATCCTCCCATGAGAGTCTCAGAAATTTCTTCTTCTCAAGATATCATAAAGACCCAACCTCTAGCACCCAGTGGGGAGAGGGGCCCCCCACTTTCACTGGTGGATACTCCACTTCCACCAATACCAAGGTGTATGAGAAAGGGGCAACTTGCTACTGCAGAAAGGCACTCCAAGTCCCAATCCTTCGCCCTCCTATCCCCAGGAAAAGGATGCAGTTTAGCGGTTGAGCAAGGTCTCCAGGAGAGCAGTGACAGAGACTGAGGTCCCCTATCAGGAGAAGGGAGTGAGTGCTGAGTGCAGCCACTGGGCCTCTGATAACTGTGGCAAAGTTGAGAGAGGGATGGCAAACATCCCCAGAGATCTCAAGGCTACTGGTGTCCACCAGAAGCTGACAAAGTTACCAGCAACCCGTGAGGGGCAGGAAAAAGAGGAATGCTTGGAAAGCACCTATGGGTATCTATGGGCTGATTGTTACTCAGAGGTTTGTAAGCAGAGAAGAATGAAGTCAATCAGTCACTCACTGCACTTACATAAAATATTCAGCAAGAAGGAGAGCAAGATTACTTTTGATGACAGATTCCCACAAGACTTTGTTTCTGCTCTGCTTACGACCTCCCAGAAAGCACCACAGTGCCATTTGAAGTAAATGAAGGCATGCTTCATGAAGCAGAATCCTAGGAAACTCCAAAAAACAGTTACTAATGGACTCTACCATAAACAGTTCTTCATTTCATTTGGAATGTGGCAGAGTTTAGAAGCTGAAGCAGAAAATACAAATACTGAAATCATGGGATTTGAAGTTTAATGGGAGAGTATTTCTACTCCCAAATTACAACATACGGTTCATGAACTAAGATTTTTTTTTAAAAAAAACATATGTCCATATGAACTTTATCTACAATAATTTACCTTGGGGAGTTTATATGTCTATTTCATGTTTCTGCCATTTCACAAAATATTTTTAACTCTCTCTTGGAGTTAACTTAAAAACTAAGTTATAAAACAAGGAAACTAATTTTACTGCCTTAAAATTATACCTAAAAAAAAAAACATAAACAGGTTAACTCACCATGACTTTGACTCTAAAAATGAAATCTGCTATTGAGCCCTAACCGGTTTGGCTCAGTGGATAGAGCGTCGGCCTGCGGACTGGAGAGTCCCAGGTTCAATTCCAGTCAAGGGCATGTACCTTGATTGTGGGCACAACCCCAGTGGGGATGTGCAGGAGGCAGCTGGTCGGTGGTTCTCTCTCATCGATGTTTCTAACTCTCTATCCCTCTCCCTTCCTCTCTGTAAAAACTCAATAAAATATATTAAAAAAAAAAAGAAATCTGCTATTGAAAGAAAATTACTTATCATGAACTTAAAAGATGAGGAAAAACTGTTCCCAAGGAAGTTTCTGGAATTAGAAATAGTATGCAAATATGATTATAGTCTATGGAGGTGACAACTTTGATAGAGACAGTATTCATCATGGGAAAAATTTTACATTATGTTTTCATTGATTTATAACTAAAATTTAACATTCCCTTCAACTATAAATGTAATCAATCAACCTCTGTAGAATTAGCACTATCTGTAACTTTGATACCTATTAAAATCATAATTTTTTAAAATATTGTATTGCAGATAGAGCAAAAATTGTCACAACTTTTTAAAAAATATGTTGATGCCCCAATTTCAATATAAGTGGTTTCCCTTAAGGTGTGTATTTTAAATTATGCATGTAAAATAAAAATGCTAAAAGGGGACCATCAGCTTCCTCAAACTGACAAAAAGATGCATGGCCCAACAAGTATTAGGAATCTCTGCCTTATATAATGAGTTCATTTATCATATTTGTTTTTCTTTGTCCAGGGCAGCAAAAAATTGCAGAACATCATAATAGCTGTGGAAAGGGTTCCTTGAGGTTAAAAAATAAATTTTGCATGTAATAAATTTGACATACCAATGCCTTTTCCAGAAACAAAAGAAGCAACATGGTCCCAGAGGCACATTACATAAACTGTCATCTTGAAAATCATTAGCTGGATATACTTACTTTATCTATGTAACCAAAATGTTAACAGAGGCTCTTTGCTTAAAGCAATCTAGTTTAACAAAGTGCCATTATCTAGGATATCAATCGTAGAGAAGGTGGGGAAATCTGACATTATATCAAGCTGGGCTAGTCTCAGCATGATACTAAATACCTGGGAAAAAAATGAAGTCAAAACAACAAAAATGATGAATGAGGCATGGAGACTGACTGAGGTGAGACTGACTAAGGGGATACATTGGATTGCTGTGTCTTGGTATAACAGTCAAGCAGTTGTGCACAGACAGCAGGAATGGGCCCTCCCTCAATGCATAACACTACAGAGTCAAAGCAATCATTTGGTGTTCCCTCCAAAAGGAACAGAGAGGGGGAAAAATAAAACAAAATGAGGAACTGTATAGTGGGCACATTGCCACACAGATAAAAAAAAAATGCTTAGCAAAACAAACAAAAAGGATTATTGAATGAGCCAACACCTTGAATGCAACCACTCTGCATTTTGCCTGTATGTTTTCACAACTTTCCAAAAATTATGTTGATGAAACATGGTACCAAAGAGAAATAAGATATAGTTTAAGCTTACTTTGTAGTTTAGTCTGTTATGCTTGAAATAAAAATACTGCTGATTTGATCTTTTTTTATAAAGAACACTAGGGGCCCAGGACACGGATTTGTGCACCTTGAAAGGAACTGTGGGTGCCCTAACCGGTTTGGCTCAGTGGATAGAGCGTCGGCCTGCAGACCAAAAGGTCCCCGGTTCAATTCCAGTCAAGGGCATGTACCTTGGTTGCGGGCACATCCCCAGTAGGAGGTATGCAGGAGGCAGCTGATAGATGTTTCTCTCTCATCGATGTTTCTAACTCTCTATCCCTCTCCCTTTCTCTCTGTAAAAAAACAATAAAATATATTTTAAAAAGAAAGGAACTGTGGGCCACAAGGCTGCAGTGGGCACAGGGATGGGTCTCAGCCCATCCTCTGCACCTCCACCCAGGCCCTCCCGCTGTGACCCCTGGTCCCCTCTCTGCAGGCGAAGTCAGCAGGTGCGAGCTGCCCCGATCGCCTCTCAGGAGCAGGGGGAGGTGGAGAAGCCCTGAGGAGCAATCGGGGCTGGCAGTCGCCACTCACACCCACTGACAGTGCCAAGCAATGGGTGCTGGCACTGGGCACCAGCAGCAGGTACGAGTGGGACCAGCACCTGCAGCAGGTGTGAACGCCAGGCAGGACCATGGCGCAGGGGAGCAAAGAATTTTCAGTAACCACCAGAGGCTTGCCCAGATGACAGCAACTGGCACCCTGCCTTGGTCTGGTGCCCCTGCTCACCTGCTCCACCATCCCGCCAAGGCCTACACCCACCATGTTCTGTGCATTCCCCCTGGTGGTCAGTGCACGTCATAGCAACCAATTGTTCGGTTGTTCTGCTATTTGGTCTATTTGCATATTAGCCTTTTATTATACAGGATATTTCTTAAAATTTTGAGCATTTTATTTAATTTTGAAATTAAAAGCATAATTTTCATCATTAAGCAATTGTAAAGGTCTCCACCTGAACATGTGTATGTAAAATACACTGAGTGGCCAGATAATTATGATCGGCCAGATTATTATGACCACCCCATCAGTACAATGAAGTGAATTAGTTATGCAAATAATAATAATAATAATAAAAAAACCTTGAGAGTATTTGCTTAGGAAGTTTTCAATATTCAGTATTTTTGAAAGTGTCAATGAAGTACTGATGGGGTGGTCATAATAATCTGGCCACTCAGTGTACATTTGTTCTCTTTGTTATCTGTATACATACCAAAGAGAAAGGTTAATTCACTTTATTGGGAAGGAAAGGATAGCATTTACTGAATAATCCTGAAATTATCTCAAGAAGAAACAAACACAGGGGCAAAAATCAGGCGTATAGTTGTTCATAGGGAAAACAATAACTAATAAATAATAATAAAAGAAGAAACTCTATGCTTCACGTACTCACAACTGAAAACCTACTTTTATCCCACCCTATATATTTCCTAGTTCTAATAAATAAATAAATAAATAAATAAATAAAAAGAAGCAAACCTAAATTGTGACCTCTGAATTGCAGACTAGAGATACACGAAGATTCTTTGGACACTTGAAACACTGTTGAACGTGAAGTGACTTAGACGTGTCCTGTATTAGTCAGGGCAATCAACATTCACCGGAAAAACAAACACCACTGAAATCTCTGTAGGCGATGGTTAAAGTGTAATAGTGTCCTAGTTTCTAAGATGCTTCCCCACCTCCAACCTCCTCTCCACCCTGACTACTCTGGGCGTTGGCATGTTTCTTCATGGTCCCTTCACCTGCCAATGAATAGGAGAACACCTGACCCAGAGGATGTAACCCCAGAGATAGATGGTGGAGGACAGAAAAATAAACCTGGACGCAAATTATGGCTGCAAATTCACGAGCTGGCGAATTTATGCCAGTCAACTAATTCTTTAAGCCTCAATTATATCATGGATCAAGTAATAATTATAATATTCCCATTTCATAGAGTTGTTATGAGAGCAAAGCCAAAAACGTATTTATAAGGTTTAAGATTGCTTCTGATAGAGTGTCCCATTAATTATTTCATTAGACCATGTTCAGTATTAACAGTGGCCTTAACTGGACAAACAAGAACTTTTCTTCTGGATGTTTTAAATTTAGAAATGAATTATTGTAGCCCACCCTCCCCGTAAATGGCAAGGTTAAAGACATACTAGTAAAATTCAGGAGCCACTGATGACATGTTTCCATCCACATGACAACCCCAATATGTGATGGGAAAGAAACTGACAGGAAGAAAGAACTAGGGCTCGGTGCCCAGGGAATAACCTGGCTGCTGGAAATCCCAGCTTCAAATATTCCCGAGGGCCTATACAGCCCAGTCTCAGGTGAGATCTGGATTGTCAACTTTGGCTTGGATGTGTGAGTCAATACAATACTGTTTTGGCCTAAACTCTATACAGTTTGATTCCTTTCACTTACACCAGTCCTGTTTATTACAATGAAGATTTGGAGGTCTTATAGCACCCTGGATTTCCCGTTTCTGCCTACAATGTTCAAGGTATGGGCTATGTGCAGGACAGCTTTTACTTTGTGACTTGAATATTAAAACACAGAATTCATTTCAGGTGATTAGCACTTCAACCTAAGAAAGTCTCAAAATGTTGATTGCCTGTTTAGAAGAAGACAATAAAATTTAGCCTTAACTGAAAAAGTGATCAAATATAATTCCAGAAAGTGAATTGGAATAAGCTGATGATATTAAAAAATGGAAACTTTCATGTCTGTTTCTAAAGAATCTGCTACTTTAAGAATTCTGCAGCAGCTGTTGAAAGTTAATTAAGGTACAATTCTAAGAGAAAGAATTAAAGTGCCAATTTTACATTTCCCCTTTTGTTTTATTTCTAAACTATTTTATTGAACTTGCTGGGCATTTAACATAATGACAACTATTAAACAGTACATCAAAGTCAATTTCTTTCTTTTATCCATTTCAGCATATTTGATTAATTCGGCTACAACTGCATACTATGTGCTGAATTAATCTCAGTGTCATGCTAAAGATCAAATGCCAACTCATAAATTTTTAAATAATTTATAAGTTGTTCTCCCATTAATCTCAACCTCCCAGAAGAGATTGCGCATTGATAAATAAATGTCTTTGGTAAATTACAGTGTGTTTGCTTTCCACAAGGATGCTGGACTTTCATGAAGTTTCCCAAATATTTTCATGTGTTGATGCCACTGATAAAGGCAAGAAAGCTTATGCAATTAGTTTGAACACAAATCGCACTGGCCTGTAATGGAAATAAAAATACTCCTTAACTTCCACATTATTTCTGGATGAGACATCACTTTCTAATTAGTATTAAATTGATTTGTGGTCATGTGTTAACTCCCTTATTTGACTAAGAAGTCACTTAGGGCTGAGAGTGTAGTTTTTACTATTTGTAGCTGTAACAGCACTCCAACTCCATGCTTTAGAAATAGGAGAGGTTCCACAAAGTGTTTGCTGAAGTAATAAACCACCTGCCAAACCAATCTACTTCTCATTAAATTATAATAATATAATGCTGGGGAAAAACATCTATTGCCTTCCCTCGGTCAGTATCTCTTTAAATTCTACTTAAACTGGCCTCTCCAAGTAAGCAAGCTTTATACTGCTGTACAGCATGATCAAAATACCAGAGAAAGTCCTCTTGCCTCCAAATATTCAGAAGTTTGTGCATATGCATGCATATGCATACATACTCATACTGCTTAGAATTCTTTCTCAAATGAGGAAAGAAAAGGCCACCAGTCTCTCATGCATCAATCTGAGCTAGTCAAAGTATTTATTTCGAGCCAAATATATTACACACATTTAATGCTGACAGAAATCGAAAGCTGGCTATGTGTGTGCATATGCATGGTGATACATAAAAGTGCTTATGCCTTTGACCTGATACATAGAAATGTTTATGCCTTTGACTTAATCATCCAACTTTTGGAATTTTTTCAAAATAAATAATGTGAAAAAATGAGAAAAAGAAGTAGCAAAGACATTTATAACAGCATTTTAAGAGGAAAATATAAAAACAACCGAAGAGTCAATAATAGGAAAATTATTCAAGATTTATACAGAAGTTTGATGAATGATTCTACAGCTAAGATAAATGTAGAAAGAATACAAAAAAGTTATGTTGAGTGAACTAAATAAAATATGAAAATGATATATAGCTTTTGATTACAACTACATACAATTCCAGTTGTGTGAAAACTGGAAGAGATTACACATTTAAGGAGGAGCTAGAAAAACTGGAAGTATGCGGCCAGAGGACTGTAGGATTGTGGAGGACGCCTGGGCGCCTACCGCTAGAAAGTGAGCCTGTTGTTGCGCATGTACATAGTCAGCCCTATAGTCCTCAGTCTCGCAGTATTTGGACGTGACTTCTGGCGGGAAATTATTTCTATACAATTCCAGTTGTGTGAAAACTGGAAGAGATTACACATACAGAGTCAGAAATCCATTTCTGTCTCATTGAAAAAATTATTTAAATAAATTAAAACTATTAAATTTGCAAAAAGTTTGAGATGAGTGGTGACTAAAATGTATATTGACTAGGTAAATCAGAGTTGGCCTAGACTGCCTGTTCCAGGAAGGGTTTCAGCAGCCCCTAAGCAACAGCTGGAAACCCAAGAGAAAAGAGCACCAAAATTCAACCCAATTGTTTCAAATGCTATCTAAAATGGACCGGCCTGAAGCATCCCAGATTTCATAATCTTACTTGGACTTAATCATAAATAGCACTGGTCTATTCTTCCTTTTGGTTCCTCTAATGCCTTTATGCTATAGCTCAAGAATTTTGTGATTGCTTTTTCCTAGGGAGAAACAATGATTTAGTAAGCATTCCTCCTTTGTGCAATTCCCTGTACACATTTAGCTTCCCCTTACAATCTCTTCCAGTTTTCATACAACTGGAATCGTATATAGTTGTAATCAAAAGCTATATATCATTTTCATATTTTATTTTGTTCTCTCAGCATTTAATTAGTATTCCTCCTTTGTGAAATTCACTTTACACATCTTTAAATACGCATCTAAGTCCTCTTTTTTTAAAAAAGAGAATTTTATCTTTGATTCTTTTCAACTAGAGGTAGTTTTGATGTGATAAGAAATGATTCTTTATAATCTATCTATCTATCTATCTATCTATCTATCATCTATCTAAAGCCAACTACCGGAATGACCAGAACGACCAGAGACCAGAACACCACCACCCCTCGCCCAGGTGGCCCCGCCCCCCAGGGAGCAGTTAGGGGCACCCCTAGGCAATGTGATAGGGTGCGAGTTTGATGGGGGAAAGTCAAAGAAATAGAGGGGCAGGTCTTAAGGGTCTGCAGGGTTGGGGTGGTCGGCCTGGAGTAGGTTTGGAGTGTGCTGGGGAAGAAAGAAGAAGATCCGATTGGAAAAGGCTCAGCACAGTACCTTTCTCCTTGTGAACCAGGACGGCGCCAGCATGGACTGAATGGGCGGTTGTCTCACGAGTGTGCTTGGGACCGACATGTTCATGGCAGCGCAGCAGTACTCCCGAAACTTCACTGATTCCAAACAGTAAACAGCTATCAACGCCAAAGAACATTAAAATCCTCTCCAATTAGAGGCCCTGGACTTGCAACACAACTGAAGGAAACACCATTTAAGGAGGAGCTAGAAAAACTGGAAGTATGCGGCCAGAGGACTGTAGGATTGTGGAGGACGCCTGGGCGCCTACCGCTAGAAAGTGAGCCTGTTGTTGCGCATGTACATAGTCAGCCCTATAGTCCTCAGTCTCGCAGTATTTGGACGTGACTTCTGGCGGGAAATTATTTCTATTGAGGTTTGCTGTTCCCTTGCGGCGAGGAAGATCAGAATTAAAGGTTTCATTTGTTACCTTGGTTTGAAGCGGAGAACAAGAGCCCTGAGTACGACCAGCTCTACGAGGAGCACACACGCACCTCCTAGGAGCTGCAGATGAAGTGCACCGCCATCAAAGCCTTCAATGAAACCATCAAGATCTTCGAAGAGCAGGGCCAGACTCAAGAGAAGTGCAGCAAGGAGTACCTGGAGCGCTTCTGGCGTGAGCACAGTGAAAAAGAGATGCAGAGAATCCTGTTGAACTCAGAATGGCTCAAGTCTCACATGGCCAAGATCCATGAGAGCCGCACGAAGCTGGAACAGGAGCTTCGGACACAGGCCTTGGACAACCGGGAGATTGATAAGAGCATGAACAGCCTGAAGCCAGACCTCATGCAGCTGCACGAGATCCAGTTGGTATGGCTCACCCAGAAAGGTGCCCGGCAGAAGAAAATCACCGAGTGGTTGGGAATCAAAAATGAGCCTGAAGAGCAGTATGCACTGATGGAGGATGAGGATGACCTCCTCACCTTGAGGAACGAACCTGGTATGTGGGCAAGATCAACCGCTCGCAGGCTGAGGAAATGCTGAACGGCAGGTGGGAGGGTACCTTCCTCATCCGTGAGAGCAGCCAGCGGGGCTGCTATGCCTGCTCTGTGGTGGTGGATGGCGATACCCAGCACTGTTTCATCTACCCCACGGCCACTGGCTTGGTTTTTGCGGAGCCCTACAACCTGTATGGGTCTCTGAAGGAGCGGGTGCTGCATGACCAGCACACCTCCCTCGTGCAACACAATGATGCACTTACCCTCACACTGATACAACCCGTGCGAGCCCAGGACCCGCCCACCCACCCAACCACCCAGCCTGCTGACTCATACAGAGCAGGACTCCATCTTTCTGTCTGTCTGTCTCTCTTCTTTGTGAATCTTTCTCTGTCTCAATCTCTCTCTTGCTTTCTGAGTCTTTCTCTTCCTGTCGCTCTTTCTATCCCCATTTCTGTCCTCTCTGTCTCTCTTAGTCTCTGTACCTCTAAGTCTCTGTTAAAGGAGCTTACCTCCTCCACCCCATGCCCCCTTTCCCCATGGGCACTGCCCTCCCCTGGCTCTGGCTGCCCCCACCAGTTCCTACAGTTCCCCCAAGCTCCCCTGCCTGTACCTGCCATGTTTACAAAGGCCCCTGGGGTGCTCAGCCCCAGCCTGGTGCCCTGATTTTTAAGCCGTAGACCTGGGGTCAGGGAAGGAAGAAGGCAGAAAAGAACTTTGCTGGGACACTTCCAAGAACCTCAGCTGTGACATTTGGGGTCAGGGAGTCCCGCCCCATAGACCCAACTTCCCCTCCAAACCCTGAAGTGAGACCCGCACCGGTTACCCCCACATGGAGCTGCTGCCCAGAAGTCCTCCTCCCCCAAAAGCAAAATTATTAAAAATAACTTCAAGAGCTGGGCCCTATCTGACCCCAGGCTTCCCAGGAACTAAGGCTGCTGCAGGTACTGCTGGGCCAGCCGAGATGCACCACTGCCCACAGTACCTTCGCTCCATGCAGTTTCAAGGCTTCTCCATGTTGGGTTCTGATTTTGTTTCCTTGACTGTAAACCCATTTTCTCCTCTTTTGGGACAGGAACCCCGGTTTTCTATGCTGCCATGGACCCCCCTCCTGCCTGCCCAGCTAGGCTGGCAGGTGGGTTTTGTATGGTAGTTGATAGTGATGTGGATATAAAACATTGAACTCAAAAAAAAAAAAGGAAAATGGGATGGTGATGAATAAGAAACTTTGAAGACAGTGAAGGGCAGTTTGTCCACACTGTTGAGAGCTAAGAATTAGAGTTTAATTGGGATAGAAATGCTGCTAATAGCACCTGATGCCTGAAATCTGAGCACTCTACTTTTAGGTTTTCCAGTTCAAGTTTTTGGAGACTGCCTATTAAAACATTCCTGGTTGGAAAGTGTTTGTATAGAAACCCATAAGAATTAAGTATTTGCTGTGTTTTACCATGCTTAGCTCTCTGTAAGGAATATGGAATAATGTTAAATGCCTCATGTTCTCAAGAAGCTTGACTTTTAAAATAAAAAATAAAGAAGAAATATAAATATTAAAAATAAAGAAGAAGCTTGAGTTTTAGAGGCAAAATCAGGCAGCCAGGTGAGCAGTTGGGGGCGACCAGGCTCGCAGGTGAGTGGTTAGGAGCCAGCGGTCCCGGATTGCGAGAGGGATATCCAACTGCCTAAACCGGCAGTCAGACATCCCTCGAAAAGTCCCGGATTGCAAGAGGGTGCAGGCCGGGCTGAGGGACCCTCCACCTCACCCCCCCCCATGCATGAATTTTGTGCACTGGGCCTCTAGATTAGTTAATAACAATAACAAACACACAATGAGCATTTATTGGGCACCATTCTGGGTGTTTATCATAGACCAATTCATTTTAGCCTCACAACAATCACACTTTGCAGGTACATTTATATTCTTCAGAGACAGAAACCAAGGAACAAAGAAGTTTATTGTTCACAATTTTACTAGTTTGAGCAGAACCAGAATGTATATACCTACCATCTAAATGAAGAGCTACTCAAGAGGGGAGGGGGGCTGGGATACTGAGTGAAAAAGGTGAAGAGATTGAGAAGTACAGATTGGTAGTTACTAAATAGTCATAGGGCTGTCAAGCTCAGCATAGGAAATATAGTCAATAATATTTTAATAACTAAGTATGGTGCTAGGTGGGTACTGGAAATATTGGGTGGGAACACTTTGTAAAGTATATGATTTTCCTAACCACTATGTTGTACGCCTGAAACTAATATAAAATAATATTGAATATAAACTGTAACTGGAAAAAATAAATATAAAATAAAAAAGAATCACTCAATCACTTTTAATACTACCTCTCTTTAGCCATTACTTTTCTCCTGTTAACAATCCTGACTCTTAGCAACATGGAAACACTATATTAAAGGAGATCCCCTGATAGGCAGCTGCTTGCTAATTCCAGATTCTTCCAAAGCAGAACTCAGAAGTAATTGCAATAAGTGTATCTATACAGTTAAACTCCTTAATGCCTCAAATATTGTCAGTTGCTGAGGGTGCATTATTTGGTTTAATGTGAATCCATTCCTTTGTCTCTGGTGTTCCTGTATCCCCTCTGCCCTCAGACTTTTCCTTATTCCAAAAACTGCAGCTGACCTTAACTCATACCAGGGAGAAATGTTTACCTTGCTACCAAAATTTAGAGGCTTTTCAAAGAGACTTTGAGTCTCACGACTCTTGTATCACACACTCTTCCATACTGTGCTGATAAATTGAATACCCATACAACATTAGGATTCAATGGTGCTGAGGAACAAACCTCCAGGATGCTTTATTTTAGCCATCAGCAGCCAGCGACCTGATACTGTGAAAATCTAATGCTTCTTTCTAATGCTTTCTGATGCTTCTTTCCCCAAAATTGAATAAGTTTAAGTACAAGGAAACACTATTGGAAGTTCTTGATAAAAGAAAGTATTTAATTTAAATCTATACATGGGCTTTCTAACTCTTTGTACCAAGTAAGTTCAGCATACTAGTAGAATTCAGAAAGAACAAAATGGATTCTCTATTTTATTGCCTCAGGCAATAAAATCTGAAATAAGATTTTCTTTTTATAGACTATGAAAGCGTGCATACACACACACACACACACACACACACACACACCACTGCCCTAGTTCTGCCTTCCCCTACACATCTAATCATGTCTATTTTTAAAAAGCTTTGACTTTTTTTGGGATGAATCTATCTTGATTTCTTGAGCCATAACAATATTGACTAGGTAAATCTAAATAGTTTAAATTGCTTAATACCTATTAAATAGGTATTAATTGTATATACAGAGTTAGCACACCATAATCAAACATACCAAGGTCATAATATTTTTACCATATGCAAGATTTTTCCTGTAAATATTATAAAATAGGTATTATTCAAATGTAATTTTTTCTTCAATTATTTTTAAAAGTGCACATACACACACACACGTGTGCATACACATTGATACAGAGAGTATTAGGAGTTCTCAGGTTAAAAGAGAAACAAGGTGGGGGGGAAGGTGAAGGAACTGAGGAATCGAGGCAAAAAGAAAAATTTGACCCATTTTAATTCTGGCCCTGACCATTCATTTATTCATTCAACAAACATTTATTCAGTGGCCACTGCATGACAGGCACAAGATGTAATTTATGTTCAAAAATATATGAAGAGGCTATTTTAAACTTGACTTTTTCCCTTTTTCATTTGTTTTCCAATGGATAATTTCCTTTATCATTTTTTCCACTTTAAAAAACTGAGAAATAAATATTAAAGCCAATTCAGGATTCATAGAGGCTTAGAGCAGAATGCCTCACCTCTCTCTTCTTTCGCCTTCATCCTATGACACTCCTGAGGACCGTAAATTAAAGAGCCTCTGCTTTCAGGTTACAGAAAAGACTTCAGAAAGGTGAGCAATTGTAGACTAGGCCTAGACCATAGATCACCTTAAAGTCTAACACAGTTTTGACTTCATCATGGAGGACAACTATAAAGTTTTTAAAAAAGAAAACAGTCTGATTTATTGTAAAGAGGCTTTTAGGGCTATTCACCTGGCTGTGACACGTACAGTGTAATGGAGACATTCACAAAAGTCCCTTAAATGCTCCCAAGAAATTAGCTGTGGACAATAGATAGATTGAATTCAAACAACATTATAAAGAAAGCTTTGTCTGAACTTGACAACCGAGGGGAGTCAGGGGTAGGAAAATGGGAAAGTAAAAATTGTGATTAAGATAATAAGGGTATCATTAATAGAAAAGGAGAGTAGGAAGAACAGCCTGTTGGGGTGAACTAATACATTAGAATAGTGTTTGGGTTGGAAGTAAGGAACACGACAAAGAAGTCTAGATTTAAGTCTGATATTAGAAGTAATTTGTTCTCTGATTTGGTTAATTTGCCCCGGTCATTCAGATAGAAAGGGCTGGAATTTATGTCTCTGAATGCTATTTCCTTTTTGAATAAAAAGTGTCTAATGTAAAATCAAGTCAGTTAGAAAGGATTTAAGAACTCTCCAAAAAAATTAAATATTTTAAATATATAGAGCAAAATTTAGTACATTTCAAAGCAAAGATTTTTAAAAGACAGTAGTTTTAAAAACAGATCTAACCAACTTGCGAGAGTAATGGGATAGTAAAATCTCTAGGCAGTTCTTATACTAGGCCTAGGACTTCTAAACTAACTTTTGTCTTACTTTCATCCCTTCTAAGATTGTCCTGTATAACCCACCTGTACATAACACTCTGATCACTTCTGTTTTCCTATCTGCACTGGTAATATTATTACAATACAATTTACAATCATTTTTTATATCAATTCTCCAGTGTAAACTTTCTGAGGGCAGGGATGGTATCTTACTCATTTTTATATTCTAACTCTAGCACAATGTTTAATCCATAAAAGATCTCATTTTTTTCAATGTCATTTAACTTCAATTTGTATGTTTTGTCTCTGGAATGAAATAAATTCTACAAAGACTAGAGCCTGGTGCCTAGTACAAAGATGTGGGCACAATGAAATAATAATGACACCATTGAGTATGATGTTGGCTGAAGGTTTGTCATATATGGCCTTTATTATGTTGACGTACTTTCCTTCTATAACCATTTTATTGAGTGTTTTAATCATAAATGGATGTTGTATCTTATCAAATGCTTTTTCTACACCTATTAATAAGATCATATAATTTTTCTCTGGCCAGTATTCTCAGTGGTTAGAACATAAGCCCACAGACAGAAGGGTCATGGGTTTTATACCTGGTCAAGGCCATGTACTTGGGTTGCAAGTTCAATCCCCAGCCCAGTCCAGGTGCATGAGGGAGGCAACCAATCAAAGTTTCTCTCTCCCT